GTATGACATTCTTTTTGGTGTTGCAGGCGATATATTTAGAAGCTGGAAGGGACTATAGAGGTCATCTTTTTCAGCCCCCTTTTAGAGCTTAAGTGATCTCTCAGCTAGTAAGTAGCAGAGCCAGGATTTGAAGCCAGGTCTTCTTACTTTAAAGCCTGCATTTTTTCCACGGAATCATTGCCTTCTAAGTTGAGGTCTCTGAACTCAAGCTCTTTATAATCTACTGGAATTAAACTAGTCTAACCAGAAATATTGAAAGAACTTACATTTAAATGAAAAGACCACATATTGATCCCCTCATGCAGTGTTGAGTGTATGGTTAGGGAACTGATATACAAGTACCTGTTGAATTGAAAATATTATCTTTTCCTGACTTGGATTTCCTTACATTTCATTTCAACACTGTACTTACTAAGTGCTGAATGTTGTGATTTTATGTGTTCAAAGAATCAGCTCTGTCATTGCATCATTTTTTCAAATTGACTGTAGGTGGTAATAAAAGCTTACTTCTTCCCAGGTCTTTGTATGATGATGTTAAGAGTAATTTTTAACTAAAGGTAAAATAAAGTAATTAAAACCTGATGTTTAGTTATTTTCTTGAACATTTTGTATGCGTCTCTGTAGTTTCCAATGTCATTATTTTCTGTTGAGAAATTACCAATCAGGTTTTATCCCAGACCCTCTCCTTCCTTTCAACTCGATATGCTTAAAGGAAATGGTTACATTCTCAATTATAGGTAAATGATATTTTTTGGCTATTACCAGAAGTGCTAGGAGTAACCTAATGCTGTGAAACCTTATCCTCCATGGAATCATAGTAGTATTTCTAGGTTATTGATAAATCTAAGTTACAGAGTTTTTCTCTTAGTGTTCCTCTTTTTTTTTTTCTTTTTCCTTCAAAAAGGGGAACGCTCATGAAATAACCTGTGGTGTTGATCTGTGAGAACTCTTGACAATCCACGATTTTGTTCTCACGTATGAAATTAGATTTTATTGTCTTAGACTGATGTGTTGAACAGTAGTTAAAATCCAGAGACATTCTGCTGGCCAATTTTCTGCTCAGTTTTTGTTTTTAAAGCCCTTCATTTGATGTAACAGTTAATTGGTAGAAGTGTATGGAGAGATTGTTGGAATTTTTTTGGTTTTTCTTGCCACAACTGAGGCAAAGGAAAGTGGTGTCACGTGGAATTTGTGGTTAGCTTGTATTGGTTGAGTAAATAGAATGGACCCCTTTACCTTCTAAGGGATAGACTTTTGAAAGAGTATGTCATCTTGTAACTTTTATAAATTTCAGTGTAAGGCTTCTTGTTCAAAAGGGCATAGTTTATAACTTTAGGGGGGAAAGTGTTAGACCTCCAACCATTTTTTCTTGGTGAAGTTGTGACTGATTTTCCTTCCTTTCAAAGGAGTCCAGCTATTTGGAGAGGTTCAAGAACAAGCATTAAGACTTTTTGCCCCTGTGCAGGTGAAGAGACACCAAACCAAGATCAGCATGGAGAGACTATGGTCAGTACAGAAAGCTCCTGTTAAAAAACTTAGCCCAAACCAAATATATTCCTAGTCTTTCCTCTAGGCAGTGCAGGAATTTAATTCCTTTGGTATACAGTTTCAAGAGGTTGCTATCTAAAGTTAGACCTTTTCAGCTATTTAGAGACAAAGACCATTTCAAGAAACTAAAAAAAAAAGTTACTTTAGACCGCGTTTCCATAGCAAATTGGTAGCAGTTTACTTTAAGGGGTGGGGGGGGAGGTTTGAGTGTGTGGTCTAAGTTTAATAGACTGTAAATAATTTGATAATAGGTCAGTACTTTAGTTAGATATCCTAAGTAAATAGCAGAGATCTTATGGCCATATGTTTGTTTCCTAAAGGACCATTTACCTCATTAAGGGCTTGAATAATAAATATACTCTTGGCATTTCATTTTGCCTTTTTTTTTAAAGCAGTCAAAATAATGCAGTTTAGATCATATAGTTTAAGGTTACTTATCTTTGCATTCTTTAACATCAGTTCATTCCTGAAAACAAAAGTTGCTTTAAAAAAATGAAGTTCTCAGTTTTATATTGGTACCATTTCTTAATCAAAACCCCTGTTACTTTGAAGGGAGCAGTTTGATTTAACTGCTAGTATAGGCCAAAGGCTTACCTTAAGTGACTAAATCAATTTGGGTTATTCATGTAATTATTGCTTATTAGATACTGTAGCAGAATGACCATAGTTCTAGAAGCTGGCTTCTTTAGTTTAGCTAGAAAAAGAATTGAAGCTGCAACATTCTTGATTCGTCTTTCCTTTGGCGCTGACAGTACTATCTGCAGTTTGAATAATTTGCATAGATGTATCAGTATAGATGTTGTTCATTCTATTGAACTTAGCACCTTAGAATCTAAAGCCCTTGTACTTGATGGCAGCCGACCAAGATACACAAGTCTAATCTTGCTTGATGATCAGTCTACATGGACTTTCCCTCCACTCGTGAAATATGGAAGGAGGAATACTCTTTGATGTCATAGATTTCCATCATTATCTACAAAAGAAAAGTTCAAAAGATGATTTTGGCAACAACTGAAGCATCTCATTTTTCTTTAATTAGCACTATTTACTAGACATCCTAGCATTGTTTCTTATACTGTCTTCTTAGTAGTTAGTTTTCTCAATCACATAACTTCAGTCTCTGGTATTCTGCAATGGACGTGAATTTTGCAGCATGCTGTATATAGGGAACATGAATCTTAATCATTATTCAGCGACTTTACCAAAGCTGCTTCTCTACTACTGATGGCTCCCTTCTTCCTGACTTTGGCAGCACCTACTTAAAGGGACCAGAATAACTTCAGGTACTTACTAAAATGTTGAAACTTTTCAAGAAAATGTTTTTGTGCTTCATGTAATAATCTTCATTGCCAATCTTACAGAAAGCAGAAATGGTTGAGGTTATGTTTATTCTATTTATTTTACCCAGTCTTGCAAAAGCAGTAGGAAACTATTTTTAAAGCTTTACTGTGACACATCTGCAATATACTTCATACCTAAAGGTGATGATAATCAAGAAATCTGGATTTAACATCACAAGACAGCAGGATTTTGGGCTTTTATGAAACATTCAACAAAGACTTTTGATATATCTGCTTTTCCATGATAGTAGAATTGCATTAACTTCCTAGGGAGTGGGAAATGAAACGCCTTAGTTTTCTAGCAAGCTACTTCATCAGTGATGGGAATTGTGCTTTTGCTAGACCTATATCCTGACTTCTAAATTTTCTCCCTGAAGAAATGAAATGAATTTTACTTGAACTCCAAATTTAATCTGCCAGATTTTTAAATGTAATTTTAGTAAATCTTGTGGTTTTCCTATATGCTTCCTCTTGAAAAAGGTTTCTCAGAATTGAAGTATACTCAAGATTGAACTTCTTATGGAAGACATTCAGCAGGTTACAGTTGGTTAAAATAAAGTGCTGATAAAGTCAAGATTTCCATACCGGAAAAGACCTGGTAAAGGAGTGTATAAGTAGTTTTAGGATATGTTCTACTGACAATGGATCAGTAAGATTTTTAAAAATATATTATTGCACATTATTATAATTATATCAATATATAACTTTCTCAATGCCATCATCTTCAGGACTGACTATCTTATTTGTGGAAATGCCCAGTCTCTCTCTTCTCCCTTTTGCTGCCAATCTTTTAGTCCATTTTTAAAGTTTTAAAAACACCTTTGTGAGATAGTGAAAATAAAAAGATGAAACTATAGGTGGAAGAGCATGTTGAAAATGATTGACAGATTGAGATTTTCTGTGGATTTGTTTTTCACCTCAACTTCCCTATCCTTTATTACCAGAGGTTATGAAAAATTATGGCATGTTATTGGACTGAATTTTCCATCAATCTGCTATGTGTATTTTGCAAGGGTGAGACTTGCTGAAAATACCACACTTTGCTTCTGGACCAGCTTAATCTGTCATTCATGTTTAGTCATATTCATTGAAATGTCAAGGTAATGGCAAGGAAGCCCCAGAGTGTAGTCGGTCCACCAACATCCCAGCCATACTTGTTTCAACTCAGTTTGGTTAGATAGTAGAAATGTGAAAAGGTTATGTAATAACAGAGAACTTAAAGAATTTGCCATTGGTAATCAGTGGTTGAAGAAGCCTATATAGAGACAATAACAGGCAACCTTGTCAGTTTCTAAAACTTTCCATTGTTGAAGGAGAAATAATATATAATGGGATGACACAATTTGAACAAGATCATATATGCAACTAATGATTCAGAAGCACAGCTCCACACAAGACCAGCTGTTTGCAAAAAGAACATCCATATCTTTAGGAGGAAAATCAGTATTGTAGGTTATGTATTAATAATTTCTGCTGCTGAAACAATACTATTAGTTGTGTAATCCTCATATACAAGAGGCAGTAATAGGTTAATCTTGGTATCATTGCTTGTGATGGTTATGTCTTAACTCAAAGAGCATTTTAAGTGGCTTAATTTATGTAATTCATTAAAGAACTAGAAGACAATCTTTTGAGGAAGGAAAATTTCATTAGTAGAAAAATAGCTTAGTCTATCAGGTTAGTACAGTTGCTAAAGAAAAGAAATTTATAAGGTAGCCCCCAAAACTTAAGAAAATAAATTCCTTGTATTCTAGTATTGTAAAAGTTTAAACTGTTTACATTTTAGTTATAAGACTTTTTTAAAATGTAGTATGTAAGAGATAATCTTTAATGCATTGCTAGTAACTTGTTACTTTTGAGATGTTTTTAAACACCATGTAGAAATTTTAGTATTTAAGAATGTTAGATATTTCAAAGATGTATTGCATAGCTAAGTTTTAGATAGCTGGTAATTAATTATACACACACACACACACACACACAATCATAGGTAAATTAATGTATGGGTAAGCAGGTATTCCCATATTTTTGGCATCTGGTTATTTTGATGTTTCTTCATCCATTTAGTATATTTTGTGTGTGCTTGTATGTGTTTGTTTTTTTTTTAACTAGGAGAATGAGCATTTGAAAAAATTCCAGGTGACATGGGAACTGCACAATAAACACCTGTTTGAAAATTTGGTCTTTTCTGAACCACTCCTCCAGAACAGCTTGCCGACACTGCTTTCACAGCTCAGGTATTTGTTTAATATGTATAAGCAATTAATGTTTGGTAGCAATAGTATGCTTTATTTGCCTTTGGTACAATACAGTCAGAAGAACTCTTAGGAAGAAGGGATAAATCTTATTTTCGTAAATTGTTGTTGAAAACTATTTGCCCCTTTCCTAATTCAGTTATTCTTTTTTTATTTTTTTACCTCTTTTCCTGAAACCTTTTTGAGTCTTAAATCTATCAGCAGTAAAATGTGATTGGACTAGAAGATCTTTAAAATCCCTTCAAACTCTTGAGTTCTAAGATGTCTATTCAGTCTTTGCTTCCCACTGCCAAATTCTGTTACCTTTTTAGAGATCTTTACTCCCTTTCCCTCATCGCTTTTATCTTCTCCCATTCTTTCTACACATACAGAAACAAGTTTGTGTTTGCATATTCCTATACAGAATTCCTTCCTAAAAATGAAGTCTAGGAAAGTTAGTGGAAGAAAAAGAGACTAAGAAAAAACATGAGAAAACATTTACTTTCTGTTTAGTCCTTTTTGACATTGCATCATTTCTTTCATTCTAGCCCCTCTTCGCTTTCTGTATCTTCTCTCTTTCTTCTACTCTTCTCCCAAAATATTTATTATATTAGGCGAAGTGTTGAGATTTGGAACTGAGTGCCTGGTCAGGAGTCCCACATAATATTAACAGGGATTAAGTAAAATGAACCAGAAACATTTTTGAAAGAGGAATCAAAGTAATGAGAGTTCTAAAATACATTGTGAGTTTTTTCTGAATCTCAACTTTTTTTGTTCATCTTACTTAAACATTTATTAAATTAATAATAAAAAGTAATTAAAAACCAAATCATTATTATACAACACAAATTAGTCTGGTGAGAAAGTCACATACCTACTATTTCATTAACACTGTAATAAGGACAAGTAAATATGATTCATGGTCCCTAAAAGATATTCATTTCGTATTTCATATTCATCTTATTTGTTCACATTACCCCAAATAGGCAAAAGTGTACTGTTTATAAAGTATCATAAAATTTTTTTTATTGGGACTAAGTAAACTTCATCTTACTTTGGCTCATGTTGAACTGATTTCCTAATTTAACTTCAGAGTTGAGGTTTTAATGTGCAAATGTTTCCATAAAAACTTAACAATAAATTACATGCAAGCTTAGTTCCTTAAAGTATTTGTACTGTTCGTGTCTGCTTCAGCTGCTATGATACTGATCATATTAATAAAATTGTCTACTATTCATTCATTTACTTTTCTGGTCCATTTTTTGAGATATGTCAGTAAAATTGAAAGAATTATTGTAATGTCAACATTGTAAATTTACAATACATATGCAAATCTAAAGAGACATATGATCATTTCTAATCATTCTACTATGAGAAATCCTGCCTTACATATAGACTTTTGCACAGAAATATACTGTTTATTTGCCAGATTCTGTCTCATATTAGAAAAATTAAAATTAATGTATTAAAGTTTTTTCTTAAACTTTGTTTTTCATTAGTCTTGTCAGTACTTAATGCTGTTATTTCTGAGATGGAATACTCATTTTGTTTTCCTCTCTGGATTCCAGTGAAACTTTGTCTTGGAAAATATCTTACACCTAATTATTGGGTGCTGGTTAACCCAGAATGAGACAAGAACAGCACTGGGAAACATCCCCCTGCTTTGCTCCCAGTGTGATCACATCTTTGATCCTTCTGTATTTCATAACTTAGAAAAGGAGACTAAATCTTCTGTCTTGCAGGGGTAGGAAGCGGATATCAGTGAGTATGGGCTGTAAAGCTAGTGTTTCCTTTGGTATTTCAGTTTTTCAGATTGTCAGTGAGTCTAGAACTAAAACTGTGGAAATTGGGTTCAAGATTGACCATGAAAAGGAATAGTGTAGAAACTGAGAAAGCAAAGATTACAATGACAGAATGTCTATCCGTTGTCCTGGCAAAAAAAACCTTATGTAATCTATGGATTGTGGTTGGAGAAATATTCCCGGAAGAATATTATCAGTGTTTGAGTGATTATTTGGTACATGTTACTGTGCTAGGCAGTTTGTTGAACTTAAAGAAGATACGGATTCTACACTGAAAGTAATTTTTCAGTCTTTAGGTCTTTCATCTTGCCAATAAAAGCCCCTTAGTTTAGAACTGGTCATATGTGAATGACCCTGAAATTTAAAATGAATATAGTTTATGCTTTTTCCAGAGCCCCTTCACTTTTTTCTGTGCCTCTTCATTTCCCTTGTATCATTTTATCTGCCTTTAATTAGGTGTTCTTCGCTTCTGCCTCTTGCCTCCCTATGGTGAAATCCATACTCAGAAACTTGAGAATCAATTAATCTTTTGCAAATTCCAAGCTTTTTAGATTGTCATGATTCTCTCAAGTATTTAGCTAGGTTTCAGAAGAGTTGGAAAGGGTTCCATAGCTATATGCAGTTGTTGTTGTTTTTCGTTTTTTTAATTTTGGTGGCTTTGCACATCCTTACAAGGTCATGTAGTATGAAAAAAGCTCTGAAATTGAAACCAGAGGAGCTTCTACGTTTTAGTTTCTGCTCTGCCAAATGGTTACCTCTATGACACTGGGCGAGACACTTAACTTCTCTGATCCGCAATTTCACCATATCTAAAGGAAGGTGAGCAAAGAGGCCATAAGGTCCCTTCAGACTTTTAAGTCTATAATCTTAGTCTTGGTCTCCTCTAATTGTTGGGCATAGTTCATCCAGACCAACTTGCTTCTATTAAACCACGATAAAAAACTTACGATGGTCAGTTCTGCTTGAGAGTTCTCCATCATGATTTGAATTATTCTCCTCCTTTAGGTTTTCCACATTTAGATCTTCATTATGCTATGTCTACTATGAATTTTGCAAAACATGGGGAAGACACAGTTCCTGCACTGAAAGGGCTTATACTCTCAATAATAACAGCATTATAATTGACATTTCTATAGTGGTACAAAGTTTGCAAAGTATTATACATATGTTATCTCATTTGAGCTGTACAACAACCCAGCAAAGGAGATACTTTAGATATTATTTTCCCCACTTTAAAGGTGAGAAAACTGAGACTAAGAAGTTAAGTGACTTGCCTATAATGACCCAGCTAGCATTAGAGTCAGGATTTGAATCCAAGTCTTTTTGACTCTTAAGTTTAGCACTCTCTCCACTTACCATGCCACCTTTCATATGCAGCTCTTCAAAAGAGATCAGGTCTAAGGCCCAAAATAAATAGAATTTAATTGAAATTATTCTTCATAGCATTAATCCTCACCCATAGTCATAATAATTAGAACTCAAATTTGTGTAGCACTTTTGAGGCTTACAAAAGCTTTCCTGATAACAGCCCTTTAAACTTCTAAACAGTCAGTTTATATATTATCCATTTTATATATAAGAAAACTGAAACTAAGAAAAGGACAGAAACCCTCTAGCTCAGCCCTACACAACCTGTAGCTCACCCAAGAATTTTCCAGTGGCGCACGCACACGCGTGCACACACACACACACCCCCTCTACATTTTTCATGGGCCTCAGGTTGTGCAAGCCTACTTGGGCTTCTCTTCTTACCTCAGTCATTGAACAACACAGGTATAAAAGAGGAAAGGCCCTGTACATTTCTATAATTTAGAAAACACAATTCACCTTTAGTAGCATTTCCTTATATAGGAAAGAGATGAAAGTATGATGTCCCATTAAACTTGTTAATGCTTTTCTTGTCTTGTTTTATGTTTTTCTTTTTTCCTTACTACTTTTAGACCAGTTGCATTTTCTACTCTTTTTTCCTCTTTTTCTTTCTGTTCTTTCTCTTTCTTTTAACTGGACATTACAAATTTGTGTTCCTTCTAATTTTGGAAGATGAGGATTGTTTTCTGTATACATGCTAAATTAAGTTGATTTTTGCTTATGGCCATTGATTGATTCAAGGCCTCAGGGTGTTTCCTCAGCCTCCGTTATCAAGTTGTGTCAGGTGAATCTTAATAGAAAAAAAAAATTCCTACCTCTTGAATTAGTGGCTAAAACTGAACTTTATTTTAGTATTCTGCAAGATTTTAGAAAGTTGTATGAATACCTTATTCCTTCTATGCTAAAATTGTACTCTGATGTACCATTATAGTATGAAGGTATCTCTGGGTTCTCAAAGATTATGATGGTGTTATGTAAACCTATTACACCTTTCTAAACTGGAAAGACTTTGAGCTAAGCTTGAAAAGATTTGTCACAAAATTGGCCATGGCAGCTCTTAAAAACCCACAAATGTATATATCCTTGAAATCTATTTGATTTGAATTTTTTTATTTAAATAAATGGAGTTTTGGTTATTTATATCCCCTATTTATTTCTATGGTAGTTCTTTCGATTTCCTACTGAAAGATTTTTTGTCATTCAGGCTTGGAACAACATCACATGATTCCTGTAGTGAAGATATGTACAGTACCTTATTACAAAGGTATCAGCACTTAGAAGAAGAGATGGGTCGAGTTGCTGAAGAATGGCTTGAATGTCAGAAAAGAATAGATGATTATGTAGATGAACAGGTGAGAATTTTATAAGCAGTTGTCTACTTGATAGCATCTGTGGTATACACAGATTTTTTAATTTGTATGATTGTACATTAGTGCACTGTATGTATAAATAATTGTGAACAGATCAAGCTTTATATATGTATGTCTTCATCTATTCACAAATACTTAGACGTGTAAAATGAGTAGCAGTCACTTCAGGGGGAATTCCAAGGTGGTAGCCCTTTTCCTTTTGATGTGTAGAATTAAGGAAAATTGTTGCTGAATGAAGCAGTAGAAGCATCAGGAAAGGAAATCCACTCTTAGTGTGGAAGCTTAATCTTTCCTGCCTGACTACTTTGATTGGTGTTCCTTTGGCCACTTTTAATGGTACTGATATGGGAACATATGGTAGTAGCCAGTTTCCATCTCTTGTTAGGTCGTGTGTATGTGTGTGTGTGTGTGTGTGTATGTGTATGCGTGTGCTTGTGTACATACATGCTTATATGATTTATATCAGTCTTGCAAATCCGGATGGATAGATTTTACTGTGCTGTCTTGCCATATATACACACATATGTGGATTGCAAGATTGATATATAGATAGATTGCTCTATATCCATTGATTGATGTATCTATGTACATGAATACACACAAATATAAAATTATAATTTATAAATAGTGTTGGTAATAATTTTATTATCATTCACAGAGCAAGAGATAAAAGGGAAATGGGTCAAGAAGTATTTGGGTAAGCATAAATGGTGACAGGGTCCCTGATGTCTTAGTAGACAGCTGGATGGAATGTGAAGCATAGTCTTTGACTAGCTAGGTACAGTGGGTTGAAGATAACTTTCCGAATGTCTACTGTATATGCCCCCCTTTTCTTCTCTGAGATTGCTACCACCCTGGATCAGGCCTTCATCATCACACCCAAATTACTGCAATAACTTAATGATATCTTACTCACCCTCCATGTACTCGTGACATCTTGGGTTTTTTTGTTTTTGTTTTTGTTTTTTTGTTGTTACTCAAACAGTACAGTGCTATCTCCCAATTCTGGGCATTTTCACTGCCTTCCATTTCTGGGATTCTCTCTTTCCTCATCTCTACTCCCTGACTTCTGGCTTCCTTCATTTCCCTCTAAAATCCTACTTTCTATAGGGAGCCTTTACCAATTTCTCTTAATTTTAATGCCTTTCCCTCCTTTTGTGGATAATCTCCAATTTGTACTCTATGTAGTTTGTTTGTACGTATCTGTTTGCTTGTTGTCTCACTCATTAGACTGTCAGCTCCTTGAGGACAGGGACTGACTTTTGCCTTTCTTTGTATCCCCAGCTCTTAGAATATTGCCTAACACAGAGTAGCTGGTTCATAAATGTTTAGTGACTGGACTGACTACTAAAATGAATTTCTATTTGTCCATCTGTCAGAAAAGTTCAGCTTATGAGTTAAGTAAAGCCCCCAAACTGAGTGACTTAACCAGGATTAGGAGAGTGGTATACATAGTTTAGAGGCATTGGGCTCTGCAGGTCCAGTTCTATTAAAACAAATATAAGGAATGTGATGGCAGATTGCCTGATTCCATTGTAGGGACTGGTGTCCTGGTAGATAGCTGGATAATCCACAGGACCTGAGGGCCACCTCAATACAGTGGGGTATGTCTTTTTTAATATATGCTTTCTTCCATACAAGTACTACTTTTATAGACCATATACCCCTCACAAAAGAATAGACAATTTACATGAATTACTTTGGCTTAAACATTTTAACCTTCTGAGACCTTGTGGTGATCAGTCTCTCTATATCTGACTAGGTTGATTCTCATGGAAGAGACATAGACTAGCATCAAGGATGCTGGAAGCTTTTCCAGCTTGATGCCAGAGCACCAAACTCACTTTCATGCTGTGATGAGGAAAGGGAATTCTAGTAGAATCAGAATCCAGATTTAAACGTATTGCTATTTTTTACCCATGTGACCCAGGCCAAGTTACTTAACTTCACTGAAACTCATTTATCTTCATTTGTAAAGTGAGTGGGTTGGATTCAGTGATTGCTGAGGTCTTTGCACTCCCAATATGATTCTCTCAATTTCTCTAGTGATTGGGTACTCCAACCTTCAAGTGAAGAATTAGAGTCACAAGGCAGGTTTTACCCTGATCATATACCAATTAAATAGTTGATTACAGTCATTAGGAATTTCAAGTCTCATGTATTTTAAATGAACTTTGTAATTTGGCCTGTTTTATTTATTTATTTTTAATTATGCCTAAGAGTTAAACTAAGGAATTCAGCCATACATTGAGCCATTCCCAAATAAGATTTTAAACTTGTGGTACTGTGGCAAGAGCACTGGCTTTGGAAGCAGAAGCCCTTAGTTCAAGTCCCATCTCTCTCTCTCTCCCTCTCTCTTTTTTTAAACTATTTGTCTATACTTAAGTCACTTAACTTCCTTATACCTATTTCCTCACCTGTAGGTAAGGAGGCTGGATGAGATTGCTTCTCAGGTTTCTTTCAGCTGTAGAAGTGGATTCTGTGGTCTTTTTTTTACATATACATGTGTATTTTGCCATGTAAGAAACATTTGCGAAGATTTTTTAATGATTTCAAGAAAACAAAAAGAGGTTGAATTGAAATGCCAAGTAATATATCTTTACCATTGTAGTTTTTGTGTCCATAGATCATGTATGTCATTTGAAGATCTAGGCAGCCTGGAAATGGCTCTGTACTAACATAGATAGTAATTTTCATGTGTTCTGTTACCTAGATGGCAATGAAAACCAAACAGCGAATGTTGAAAGAAGACTGGGAATTTTTTAAACAAAGACGGTTTATTGAAGAACAGGTAAGATTGTGTACCTAATGGAGAAGATGTTTTGGTTGACAAAGTAATTTACTTATTAGTCAAGCACATTGCTGTTTCTTACCAAGATATGGACAGTGACAATCAGCCTGGCTTACTGCTTTTCTGACAGATTTCTTCATAGTATAAAGATTTTGAGCTTTTAAAGACAAAAATTATCTCTTAGTTTTATTCAGTTGTTCCTGTTTGAGAGGAGGAATATTAACTGGTGAAATAGTTCTTGAAAATATTATAACTTCATTATTTGAATTTTTTAGTATATTTTAAATACTGTACTCAAAGTTCATCGTAATACTGTCTTTAGTGATCATGATTTGAGGTTGGCTTATGATTGAGGGTCCTTGTGGTACTTTGGTACCTAAACCTCGTGATTGAATCTAAGATGGACTTATTTTATACTGATTGTCATTCAGTAGTGAAGGGTTTTTTTTAGTGAGTTTATACTACATAATTCTCTTTCCTATACTTAGCATCATCCAGAGAATTGTGACAGAGATTTTTTTAATTGAGAAAATGATTATAAATGGCTTATAGTTATCCTGGATTAAGAAGTAAAGATACAAACTGGGAAAATTAATTTATATTTAATATATATGATCAGTCTGACATCTAGAATTTATAAAAGACTGCCATGATTATAACAATTATTCTTCGATAGATAAATGTAGATGTCATTGTAGATGTAGGTCAAATGTAGATGAACAGGCAGTTCTTGGTGGGGGGAACCCCACAAATATTCAACGGCCATATGAAAAAGAGTTAAAACCACTAATAATGCAAGAAATATAAATTAAAACAACTCTTGAGTTTCCACTTAGCAGCCATCAAATAGATAGAGATATAGAAAAAATTAAATGTTCATATGGCTGTGGTATAAACTGTGTTCCAACCCGTTTGTCCGTTAGTCAGTAAATCACTGAGCATTTATTAAGCATCTACGATGTTCCAGGCACTGGGCTACATGCCAGTGAGATAAAGAAGGGTAAAAAATAGTCCCTGCTGTTAAGGAGCTAACATAATAAAGAAAATGACATTCAAACAACTATGTACAAATAAGAAATATATATTATAAATTGGGAGACAAGGTGCAGTCTGAGAGAGAAGGCATAAAAATTAATGAAGAGTTCTTGTAGAAAGTTGGATTTTATCTAAGATTTGAAGGAAGCCAGAAGGCAGAAATGAGGAGGGAGAGAGTTCAAGGCATGAGAGATAGTCATTAAAAATACTCAAATTCAGGAGATAGAATATCTATCTCATTTAGGAATAGCAAGGACACCAGTGTCTTTAGATCTCAGAGTATATGAAGGGAGAGAAAACTTTACGATGACTGGAAAAGTGTAAGGGGACAGGTTTATGAAAGGCTTTGAATGGGGCAGCTAGGTGGCACTTTGAATAGTGCTCCGGCCTTGGAGTCAGGAGGACCCAAGTTCAAATGTGGCCTCAGACACTTGACATTTACTAACTGTATGACCCTGGACAAGTCACTTAACCCCCCAGTCGCCTCACCAAAAAAGCAAAAAAAAAAAAAACACCACAAAAGAAAAGAAAGATTTGAATGTCAGAAGGTTGTATTTTTGATCCTGAAGGCGATAGGGAGCTACTGAAATTTATTGAATTGGGGGTTGGGGGTGGTGATATGGTGAGACTCGTGCTTTGAGAAGATCACTTTGGCAGGTGACTAGAGAATATAGTGGAGTGGAGAGAGACTTGTGAACCTTTTGCCTCAGTGAACCCCAAGACAGACTATATCTTAAAGAAGTTATTAATGGGAGAAATGGGTCTTATCTGCACAACAGTGTTCCTAGTAGCAGTATTGGTAATAGCAAGAACAAACAAAGCAAAAAATCTAGCAAGAAATTAGATAGCTATCATTTGGGCAATGGCTGAGCAAATTGGCGTATGTGACTATAACAGATTGTTTGTATAAGACCAGTCATTTAATTTAGATAGGAAACTCCTTAGAAAGCAGTATGGAGATAGAGGGCCAGCTTCTGAGACATGATACACTCCACAAGATGTCCACATCATACATTTCCCCCCTGGGCCTCATCCTGGCCACCCACCCCACATACAGTCACGTTCTTACTCTGTGTGACCTTGGGGAAGCTAATTCATCTTTCTGTAAATTCCATTTCCTTATGACCAAGTGAGGGGCTGCACTGAGTAACTGCTAAGTTCTGCAGCTGTGATTCTGTCTGTTTGAGGTAAGGTATACACATATACATGTTATGTGTGTGAGGGCTTATATGATAGTTTGAGAAATATGGCTTTTCTATAATCCTTTACATTTTGAATTGTATTTGTTTGGAAATGTATTCTAAAATTAAACTGTTCTCTTATTATTTGCTCTAGCTAAATAATAAGAAAGCACTAGCAGGAGAAAACAACTTCACAGATACAATGAGGCATATGTTGTCATCACGTCTGAGCATGCCTGACTGTCCCAACTGTAATTATAGGAGAAGGTAAGCCTCTTGTACCAATAGGTACTCATTAGAGAATATTTAATCTTTATTTTACCAAATAGAAAACTAGAATGGCTCTTTTAAAAAATAAGTTTAGTTTCATATTGAATATATTTATAATTATCCTTAATTCTTAATTAGATGTACTTGTGATGACTGCAGCCTTTCACACATCCTTACATGTGGCATCATGGACTCACCCATCACCGATGACATCCATATTAACCAACTACCGCTACAAGTTGATTCTGCTCCTGACTATCTTTCTGAGATGCGCCCACCTAGTATGTCATCAGCAAGCTCAGGGTCAGGTTCCAGCTCTCCTATTACAATTCAGCAACATCCCAGACTCATCCTCACAGACAATGGCTCTGCCCCAAATTTGTAAGTCTTGATTATTTTTCTTTTTTGGTGAAGTTTCATAAGTTTCAATAAACTAATGAATAAAATGTCTATAGATACAAGATAAAAAAGTTGTCTAAAGAAGATAGATCTTAATTTTTTTTTCTGAAAAGTAGTTTTTAAAAGATACAAAAATGCATACCTTGAACTTTGATATTTTGGTAAATGAAACAAAAAATAAGCTGATGTCAGTTAAAGAAAAACGTGGTACATTGGGAATTGCCTATAAAGTTGGAGTTTTAAAATTTTATGTAACTTGGTAGAAACAAGTTTTTCATCATTATTTTAGTGTGAAATTTAATGATTTTTTTTATATATTATATTTTCTCCCTGGAACAGTAATGACATTTTAGCAGAAAGCAGTATGAATTTTTTTCAGTTTTGAGCTTTTTATTAAAGCTTCATTATTATATAATAATCTGGAATTAATTCAATTGTATTGCCAGTTAATTCCCATTCTAGATCAGTGATTCCAGTATTTCTTGAGGTTGTGGCACCCTTCCTAATTATTCACATTCCTCCTGCTATCTTGCTTTATGCCCAAGTTCTTGATAATTCTGAAATTTTTTTGAATTTTGCAGTAATATTCACCAGACTGCCTCACAATGCTGTGTAAACTTCACGTGCACGCGCGCGCACACACACACGGATTAATCTGGGATAGCTTGAGATCCAGTGTTATATAAAAGCCCAAATTATTTTACCAGAACAAAAGGAAAATGTCTAAAGAAATATCTTAGTCATAGTTTGTTAGTAGTAATAGTAAGGGTTCCAGAACATAAATACTTTGTTATCTAGTGAAAACAACATAGTACTGGGATTCAGAACACTTGGAATCAAGTCCCAGTTTCTCCATTTACTTACCTTCGACATGTTTAATTTCTCAAAGTCTTTTTTCCTACTTATAAATACAAGAAGTTATAATGCAGTTGTAGTCCTTGTGCTGAGGTTTAAAATAGTCAATATAAACTGTGTAATATGCCATGTATCCACAAATACAAGCTGCTGTTCATTTAGTTGATAGTTGATAAGCACTGGGAATAAAAGTAGATCTGCCACAGTTGTGCTAAATGAGTTTATACTCTAATAGGGAAAGCGGATAGAGAGAAAAATTTAAATACACAAGTAACTGTACAAGGCAGAGTAAGGTGAGGGCAACGGAAAGGTCCACCAAAGTGATAAAACAATTGAAGTGGGAAAAGTAACTTTGGTAAAGTTGGGGAATTTGGGCAGGCTCATGGAAAAAGTGGCATCTGAGTTGGCTCTTCAAGGAACAGAAAAAGATTATCTCCAGATGGAAATGTGTGAAAGTCCATGAAATCTGTTTTGTTCTTCAGGTATGGTGGTGTGAAAAAGAAAGACTCAAGGAGGAGGGCTTGGATAAGAGTGGTGTACGGAGTAGTTCAGTTTGGGAGGCTAGAGTGTATTCAATTTAACAAATATTCATTAAGTGCCTTTTAGGTACTTTAGGCACTATGTTATTCTCCAGGAGTAAAAAGATAAAACAAAAGAGTCCTTGAAGTAGCTTGCATTCAGCATGAAGGGAAATGGAATGAGATAAAATGGGAAAGATAGATTGGAGCTGAATTATAGCAGATCACAAAAACACCAGCATCAGGAGTTTATACTTGGTAGACAAGGTTTTTAAAGAGAGTAGTGTCACAGGCATTTCATGTCTGATGTAGCAGAAAGACCTATATTTGGATCATGGATCTCTTACTCAGTACCTCTGTAACCTTGGTTAGCCAAGGCACTTATTAACCTCTCAATTTCCTCATCTACCAAATGAGGAATTGACCCCTAGATGATCCTTAAGGTCCCTTCAGTTTTAAATCATATAACCTTGACATGAAAAATTGATTCAGCCTTCCTGAGGTTTCCTCAAGTAAACAATATAAACAAGACATTTAATGCTTAATAAATGGTTTCAGTAGACATTACAGTTATTTTCATTTGCCATTGGTTACATGCTCATTCCTTATGTTGAACAAAGGTAGCAAGGGTTAGGATGGTTGTTATATTGTCAGAACATTTGCAGGCTGTTAAAATGAATGGTGGTAGAGATGGGTTGGTGCCTTTGGAACAAATGCTGAATTTTGAGTCTAAGAACCTGAGCTTGAATCCTAATTCTAACACCTGTGTAACCTTGGACAAGTAACTTAATCTCTCTGGGCCTCAGAATCCTCATCTATAGAATGAGGGGTTGGATTAAATGATCTGTAAGGTCACGTACAGCTCAAAATCACATGATATCCTAGTGATTACAAGTAGAACTGTCCAACTAATCATACACATTAACAGCGATATTGTTTGATGAATTGTGAATGACTTAGCTATTCTAGTAGTAATAGTGATCCAAGGCAATCTCAAAGGACTGATGATGAAGCATGCTATCTGCCTCCAGAGAAAGAACTGATAATGTCTGAATATAGACTGAAGCAAAATATAGACTGAAACAATATTCCCTTCCTTCCTTCCTTCCTTTCTTTTCTTTTTCTTTCTTTTTTTCTTTCTTTCTTTTTCTTTCTTTCTTTCTTTCTTTCTTTCTTTCTTTCTTTCTTTCTTTCTTTCTTTCTTTCTTTCTTTCTTAATCTTCTTGTACAAAATGACTAATATGGAAATGTTTTACATGATTGCACATGTATAACCCATATCAGGTTGCTTACTATCTCAGGGAGGGATAGAATTTGAAACTCAGAAATTTAAATAAATTTTTAAAAATGTTTAAAAATTTGTTTAACAAGATAATTGGGGAAAAAAATAAAATATTATTTTACCAAAAAAAAACTGTGCTAAAGTAGGAAGGCCTGCCTCAAGAGGTGGGTGAGAAAACCTTAAGTGTCAAGATTATCCAGAAGATCCAGATAAACAGTGTCAGAGACTGCAGAGAAGACTGAGAAAAGACAGTTAGCTTTGATAATTATGAAATTAGTAACTTTGTAGATTTGTAGAGAGCGGTTGCAGTTGAAAGATGAAGCTGGATGGCAGACTGAAGAGAGTTTAAAAGAGAAAAAGAAGTGACAAGTACAAATGATATTCTCGAGGAATTTAGCCATGAAAGGAGGAGATATAGGATGACAGCTTATGGGATAAAGTGATAGGTTTTTTTTAAAGGATGGGGGAGACATGGGCATATTTGTAGGCAGCAAGGAAAAAAAGACAGTAGTTAAGGAGAGATCGAAGATTGGCAAAAGAGTAAGGATGATAGGGAAATCTGCTGAAGAAGATGAAAGGGAAAGAGATCAAAGAGGCATGAAAACGAATTTTGCCTTGACACAGAGAAGGGCTACTTCTTCATGAGAGATGAGTAAAAGAAGAGATAGTAGGGAAAGACAGCTGAGGAATGTGAGATGAAGAGGAGGGAATAAGAAGCAGCTACTGGCAAATGGCTCTGGATTTTTTTTCATTGAAGTGTAAGGTAAGGTCCTCAGCTGAGTGAGGGAAGCAGGGGTTGTGGGAGGCTTGAGGAGAGGACAAAGTTCAGAAGAGCCATTGTGAGGATGGGCGAGGCAGACTAAGAAGAAAAATGTGAAAGGGTCACCCTGCGTCAGGGAAGGCCCAGTTCAGACTGTGTAACACAAGTTGTAGTGGGCCCAAACAGCATAGTTTTGTTATTTTCTCCATCTCATCTCTGCAGCCTCTCAGTAGGAGTAACAGTGGCAGATGGTGAGAGTAATGCAAGGTTGGAGTTTGGTAATGCCTGACTGGAATATGACAAAGGGACAAGGGACTCAGGTGTAGAGTTGAACTCATTTACCAGGGAGTTGAAGGGAGGAGAGTACAGCCAGTGTAGGTGTGATGACTTGGGGAAAAACTGGAGGTCATGTTGAGCATCAAGAACAAAGGTGTAGGGGTTTTAAGGCAGGAAAAGATTGACTGATAAAAAGTTATGTTCAGAGAAAGATCTTTTGGAGTTCATGAATATAGAACCTTTTCTGAGTGACGAAAAGGTGAGGTATGTGACTGTATATCTAGTTGAAAGGGGTAGGGGTAGTGGGTATTGAGTAGATGAAAGAACTGGAAAGTTAGAGTATTTAGAGGACTATTATTGTATATGTTAAAGTTTCCAAATATGAGAGAAAGATTTGGGGAGGAAAGAAAAAGTCTTTGAGGTGAACACTGAACTTACTATGGAAGGAAGGAGAATGCTCTGGGAGCTGATAGATAATGACCACCAGGGGCTTAATTGTGTGATACATTTGAATGATGTGACCCGCAAAAGTAGAGATGTTACTGAGTAATGGTGGTAGAGCAAGTGTCTGGAAGTAGCAGCAGAAATCAAGGAGTATTCTGACTCCACCATCATGACAAGTAAGTTGGGAAATTATATAAAAGTGCAGTGTCAACAACAGAGAGCTAAGTCTCAGTAAGTGCCAGAAGATGGGAGAAATAAAGTTTAACATGAAAGCAAGTTTGTTAATTATGGAGTAGAAATTCCAGAGAGCACAGTGGAAGAAGTGAGTAGATTTGGACAACACAAGGGCTTCATTCAGCACACTGATATTCTCTAATTTATGTCTTCCAGTAAACCTATTTATTTGAGAAATGGTGATGGTGTATTTTATTATTTTTGTCATTATTTTTAAAAAATTAAAATAAAATTGCCTCTATGGCTTCTTGATATGGCGTAATATTAGTACATCTAACTAACTGATGTTAGCATTTGTTATGTTTTCACATTTACATTGTCTTTTTAATTTTTTTTTTGTTAATTTAAGGCAATGTGTTTGTTTTTTCTCTAGGGCCTCAGAATTTCTAGTTATGGTGTATGTTGACTTCCTCTTTTGCAATAGGGTGGGGAAGATCTGGGGAGAGTACATTTGTCCTCCAAAATACTTACATTATCCTTTCTTATGGCATGTATGCAGAGTCTGACACTAACACTGTTAGCATAACCAGATTATATTGAAGGACATGAGGGTAGAAAGAACAAGGATTTACTAAGAGTCTACTGTGTTACCATGAACTATGCTAACTACTCTACAAATACAGTCTTATTTGATTCTCATGACAACCTTGTGAGATATGTGCTCTGACTTGCACAGAGTCACACAACTAGTAAGTATTTGAGACTGGATCTAAACTCTGGTTTTACGGACTCCAGAGCCAGCACTCTTATCTACTGTGTCACCTAGCTGCCATAAATTTGCATACCTATTTTTATTTTCACCGATTCTTCTGATGAATTTTGGAGAGGAAATGTAGGTTGGTAGGAAAAGCATAGAATTTGGATTTAAGAGATGTGGTTTTAAGTTCTGGCTTTACTACTTCCTTCTGTGTGACCTTGAGCATGTCACTAAGTCTCAGAGTTTCCTTAAGCATAAAAAAGGGGGTGATATTTGTACTACCACTTCACAAGGTTGTTAAAAGGAAAAAGCTCTTCGATACAGTATAGTGGTGTAGCATAATATAGTATAGTATTATCATAATATATTAGTATATAAAAAATAGTATACAATAGTGTATAGTATGCAATTCTGTACTATTATGTAGTATACTATTAGTATACTATTTTGTATCATATGCTAATGTACTAGTTTTATAGTATAGTATCGTACACACCATATAGATTTTTATATTACATTATTATATTATATTATTATACCATACTTTTATATGATATACTATGAATATACAATAATAGTACATTGATTTCTGTGGCTTTCTATAGTGTATTACTATACTATTTTGTATGCTGTACTGTAGTACAGTATACAATGTAGCATACTATCTGTATAGGATATTGCATAGTATACTATTATATACATACAGTACTGTAGTATTCAGTAATTGTGTGTGTGTATGTGTGTGTGTGTAGTATAGATCTTGTATGTGTACAATAGTATGCTATACTATATCCTAAGCAAGTAGTGTACTATATAGTATTCTGTACAATATCTAATAAATACATACAATGTACATATAATAGTAGAGTATACTATTCAATATCATACATAGTACAGACAATTTTTGCTTTACATAAATTCATATTACACAAATTTGACTCAATGTAAAGAATCCGGAAAGAAATCCATGTTCCAAAAAAATTTTACAAAAATTCCGTATGAAAAGCGAAGTCTGTATGATAAGACACTATGTGATACAGGCAGCTTAAATGGTTTTGGGCAGCTGAGAAGCATCTCTAAGTCAGTTCCCGCATGTCTGCAGATAGTGAATAATATTGTGCTCTTCCCTTTATTCAATAATGATCCTTATGTTTTTACCGTGGCTGGTGGCAAACATGCTCTTGAGGGGAAAAGGGAACCATCTCTTAAGCGTAAGACAATAGACTTGGAAATGAAAATGAAAATAATTAGAAAATATGGAGGAGGACAAAAACTGTCATCAATAACATGTGAACTTAGTCTTGTGGCACTGACTGTGAATACCATAGTAAAGGATGCTGCCTGAATAAAGGAGTACACAAAAGGCAGCGCTTGCGTGAAGTTGACTTAACTGTTGAAACAACAAAAAGATGCTATTCTAGAGATGAAGAAACTGTTAACTATGTGGATAGAAGACCAAACTCAGAAGAATGTTCTTTTAAGCTTGATGACAAATTCAAGCCACAGTTTTTAAAATGTTAAGAATCATTTAAAAATCATGCAAGACTTCATAATGTGCAGTTGTTAGGAAAGGCTGCTAGTGCAGATATTGGAGCAGCAGAGAAGTTCACAGAGTTCCTACAAAATAATAATAGATTAAGGTCCCTACTTACTGGAGCAAATCTTTAATATAGATAAAACTGACCTGTTTTATCAAAGAATGCTATCTCAAACCTGTGTCTCAGAGGAGGAAAAAACTATGCCAGGGCATAAAGCTTTGAAAAATAGAGTTAACTCTTCTGCTTGGAGAGAATGCATTTGGGACTTGTAAATTAAAATCTGTTCTTGTGCACCACTCAGAACATCCCAGAGTTTTGAGAAGAATCACCAAGGCAACTCTACCTGTGCATTATTTCAGTAATCCTAAGGTATGGATAACCCTCGTCATCATTGAACACTGGTTTATGCACTGCTGCTTTCCCAAGAAGTTTTGTAATGATAATGGCATTCCTTTCAAGATTCTGCTTATTTTGGATAATGTCCTAGGACACCCTCCCCATCTGGCTAATTTTAATGAAAATGTAAAAAGGGTCTACCTTCCCCCTAACACTACCTTATTACAATCTTTGGCTCAGGGAATGATTTCAAATTTCAAGGCATATTCTTTACACATTTGTCCAGGCAGTTGCAGCTTTGGATGCAGATAAGGACTTGACTGGGCAGCTAGGTGGCACAGTGGATAGAACATGGGCCCTTGAATCAGAAGGTCCTGAGTTCAGGTCTGGCCTCAGATACTTCCTAGCTATGTGACCCTGGGCAAGTCACTTAACCCTGTTTACTTCAGTTTTCTCTTCTGTAAAATGAGCTGGAGAAGGAAATGGCAAACCACTCCAGTATCTTTGCCAAGAAAACCCCAGATGGGGTTGTCACAAAGAGTTGGACACAACTAAAACAACTGAACAACAACAAAGAGGATTCGACATGGAGAGTTTTCTGGAAGTCTTGTAATATTTACGATGCAATCTGGAATATTGCTAAGGCATGGGAAGATGTAACATAAACATGTATAAAAAGAGTTTGAAGGCAAGTGTGCCTGCAGTTCTTGGTGGATTTGATGAAGTTGAAACATTTGGAGAAGTGAATAACCAGAGTGTAAAATTAGCACAAGAATTGGAGCTGGAAGTAGATGAGAATGATGTGGAGGAGTTGATTGGGTCTCATGGGGAAGACCTGATAAAGGAGCATCTGATTGAGCTGCTAGCTGCAAAGATTACAGAAGGAGAAAGGAAGGCTTTGGAACCCAAGGTCAAACCCAGAAGGTTCACAACAATACAGTGGCAGAAGCATTTCAGCATTTGAGTGAAATTTTTTCTTTATTGAAAAGATGGATCCACATACTTCAAGAATTTTAAAAGCTCAAAGACTAGTTGAAGATAATATTGTTTGTTATCAGATATACAAGGAAAAAAGGAGAGCCACTGTCCAAACATCTCTTGATAGCTTCATTTAAAAAGTTGCACAGCAGCCAACCACCAGTGATAAAGGCTAGGTGCAGTGGGTGGGGAAGAGGCAATATACTGCACACCTGTGTTAACTTTACAGTACTATACTGTACATACTTTATCATTTCATTATAGTTGTTTATTATCATGGCACAGTGTTTAATGTGTCTGCAATTATAGTATATCTTATGACTTGCATAAAGGTATCCTTTTTTTGTATACCTTTGTGTTATCTAAGCTAAGTGAAGTGGGTGAATAGGGGCAAATTCGCATTACATGAAAATCGAGAGGTCTGCAGAGTAGTCCACTTACATAAAGTGAGAACTGTATACTAATAGTATAGTTTATATCAGTATAGTATAGTAATACACTGTAGAATTCCATACTGCTGCTATTGTTACATGTTGTTTTCCTAAGTAAACAGCACTAAAATATAATTTAACAATAACTGTGACTTTTTATTAGAAATTTGACTTATCCCTGTCTTAGAGCTCTAGTTTCCTCATCTATAAACTGTATGTGATAATACATTACTACGTCTCAGGGCTATTGGGAGGAAAGTGATTATGTAAATCTTAAAGAGCAAGACATTTGTGAATTGTATCATACTGAAAACAGTAGTAGCAACTCACATTTATAAAATACTTTAAAGTTTGCAGAGCACTTAATGAACAATAATCTAGTAGAGTGTATAATAGAACTATTTTCCTTATATTTCAGGAGAGCAAACGAGTTCTAAGCAGTGGCAAGACTTGGCCTTGTTTGAATAGCTTTTAAGTACCTAAAAGCAAGATTTGAACTTACATCTTCTAACCTCATATCCAGCACTGTGTCATGCTATCATCATTATTACTGATAGTATTTTTAAAGTGTCCTTAAGTTAATCTACCAGAGTGGCCTTATAATTTTGTGTTCTGTTTTGTTTTTGCTCCTCAGTGGTAGTGATGATGAAGATGTTGCACCTTTATCAGCTAAATTTGCTGATATTTATCCATTGAATAACTATGATGACACAGAGGTTGTAGCCAACATGAATGGAATCCATAGTGAACTAAATGGTGGAGGTGAAAACATGGCATTGAAAGATGAGGTACAGTATGAATTTGGTCATAGATAAGGAGTGAATTAGCTGCCTAATATGCCTTGTTGATGATATTAAAATCTGCTTGTGTTGGTAGTCATGTACATTTTTTCCAGAAGTAACTCATGTTGCCATTTCTTCAGTATACATCTCCCAGAGGTCTTCATGAAATTTTAACTCTTAATAATTTGTAAGATGAGGGGGGTTGGACTAGATGTCTCCTGAGATCCCATCCAACTCGTATTCTGTGATCCTATGTGCATTGATCCTGTCAAAGGTCAGTGTATATAAGGTATGACAATTGGCCTATAAAATTTTCACCATCTCTTCCCATTTATCTTAGTCTTAAAAATTCATGATAGAATTATGTTTTATGTCTTCATTAGAAATTTCATTATCCATAATTTGGACTTCTGTCGAGGTCTGTTTTTTTTAGACTCTGAGTATGAATCAGTGCTAGTTTACACAGCCAAATTTACAGAATTCCAAATTGTCAATAAGTAATTTAAAATTTTTAGTCAGCTTTCTTATTACAAAACCAATAAACACCAAAGAGATTTATTTGAAAAATATAATTTCTTTTTAAAAAATTTTTTTAAAGTCTCCTCAGGTAAGCAGCACTAGTAGTAGTTCTTCAGAAGCTGATGATGAAGAAGCAGATGGAGAGAGCAGTGGGGAACCCCCAGGAACTCAAAAGGAAGAAATAACTCTAGGAAAAAGAAGTCCCAGAAAAGATGAAGCTAAAGTGGATAGTCCACCACCATCTTATCCAAGTCAACAGGTATAGGGTAGTTTGTTATTAAAGGTTTTTAGCTTGACATATGACCCTTTCTGAACTTTTTTTTTTTAATATCATAAAGCCATCAGTTTCTGAGATTCAGATTAAGGGAAGTTTTCTTTTTCTTTTTTTTTCTCTTCCCCCATCAAAAGCATTATTAAATATAGCCACATTTCTACTCTGTTTCCTTTGATTAAATTCATAATACCTAAGCTTAGTTTTACAATGACCCATGTATCTCAAGGGATGTCTTAGCCCTCCCAAAACTCTCCGAAGTTAACTTTCTAAAGTCTTAGATACTTCAAGGATCTTTGATTTTGTTCAGGAGGTCACTACTGCCTCCAAAGCAGATCAGAACTCCTCTAGGACTTGACAGATAATTTTAGAGAGTTAGTATGTCTGGAAAATTCGTTAACCTATGCCTAGTCTGATGACAAGCCCTTCTGAACTTAACCGACCTGGTAACTATACATTCCAGTATTAGACCTATACTTAAAGCCTTTCCAGTTTAATGGAGCATACCAGAGTTCTACTGCCTCTTACACTCTTTTTGAACATTTCCTCTGTGTCACAAGATAGCAGAGTAGGACTTTAATTTTCATTTTTCTTTCACATATGTCTTTTAGAAGAAAAATAGAGGGAGTGTTATAAAATTATATAAACAGTAATGGATTATTATATCTCCTCTTTCTCTGTCAGAGATCTGCTTTGTAATTAACAAATTAACTTTGTAATTAACAAAAACTGAAGGGGGGGGACCCTTTGTGAAATTTTGTCTTTGGGGCAGAAGACTTCTCTCTCACTTGCACAGGCATGCACACGAACACACTGGTATGGACGTGTGTGTCCCTAGTTTTGAAATAAGTAACTCTGTACTATATCAGTTTAATGTGTTGTCTGTAGACAATGGTAGACAAATATAGACATAATATGATGAATTGTCTATAGACAATTTAACCAATTCTTCCACTAGTCAAATGAGAGGCAGGTGGGGGATTGTTTTAATTTTTGCCACCTAACAACTTCAAAGATTATTATGAGCTTAATAAAAGAGTCTTGGCAAACCAAATCAAAAGGTTCTCATGAGAAACTACTGTATGAGTGCAAAGTAGTGATATTTTTAATATTTACAGCTTGGGACATTACATTTGCTGTGTGTTTTTACAGGTTACTTTATTTTTAAAAACATTTTAACATCTTATAAATGACAGTGAAGATAAAAATAATCTTCAGGATAAATTAATATCTCTGGGTTCTGTGGTTAACACAAGTAATCTTCTACTTGATTAGAAATTTCTAGCCATGTAAGTTTTATGTGAGATAAAATGGGGAGTGGTTGGGGGTTTTGGAGGAGGCGGAGAGATAATTATGCCACCGTGATAGATGGAAAGAGCATCTAACAATGCTAATTCATTTTGGGAAATGGAAAAACCCAAGTTAGAATAAGCAACCCTTACATTTTTAGGGTGTCATAGACCTGTTCTTCATTTGAGAAGGAAATTACAAATGAATAGAAATTTCATTTTTGTCAACATGTCTCTCCACTTTTATTTAGTTGATTATATTCATTAACAGTTCTCTCATAGTTGACTGATTGCTTCAGAGGGCCTTTATACTTTCATTTAAACAAACCTAAACCTAAGACCTTTTGTATTCATCTAAAAGGATGAAATTTATAGAATTCCATATTTCTGTAAATCAAATCACAGTTTAGTACTATGTATGGTGGTTTTAAAGTGTTCTGTTAGCTTTCTTTGCGGTTTGAATAATTTATTAGGCAGTCTAGACATGCTACAGGTAAATCAGGCCAGGCATGGCCAGTCCATTAATTTCAGCCAATTTAATAAGTGATAGAGATAGCCACAGTCAGAATAATTGTGCAACAATCTCCATTGATCATTAAGACTGCAAAAATGAAAGGCTTTTCAGAGAGCTTTTCCTTTTGCACTTCTAGACTTGTTTTTTGTTGCTTAAATTTCTTTAATGCTACTCATTAGGATTTGAATATTTCCATTAAAAATGAAGTCTTCCAACCTATCTGGTCCATTTCTTGCTGATGGTAACTAGAGTATATGCTAGTATGATGGTAACTAGAGTATATCAAGTGTATCCTGCACTTGAAATATAAATGTGTTTCCATTTCCGCAAATTCTATGATAGCACTATGATACTTAAAAGGCTGTAGCATATGCAGAAAGCTGCTTTTCATATTTTTCATTTCATAGTGATGATGGAGGTGGGGGAGTACAACTAGGTTTATTGTGACTCCCTTGATTTGTATCCAGCATTGCTCATGCATGTTAATATGTTTTTTAATCTTTGCATTTATTGTTTAACTTCTATTCAGAGACAAATTACATTTTCTGAGATTTTAAAGATAATTCCTTAGTTTGCCTAATAAACAGGTAGTATTTTTTTCATTTTAGGCTGACCCAGGTCTAAATACTTGTGAATGTCATGTCTGTAAACAAGAAGCTTCTGGTCTGACTGCATCAGCACTGGCAGCTGGCCGTCTTCCTGCTGGTCACCAGTTTATGAACCCAGAAAAACCTGCACATCCTGCACTTCACCTTTACCCCCATATTCATGGACATTTACCTTTACATACTATTCCACATCTGCCTCGTCCTCTTATTCACCCCACTTTGTATACAGCATCCCCCTTTACACACAGTAAGGTAAGTCACATCAAAGAATTGCCACATGTCTGTTGCTATATCAGTTTTGTCTTGAAAGAATAAACATTATGAAAACAAGTATATAAAACTGGGTGTTTGGAAAGAAGAATGTCCATTGTTAGCTCTACTGTGAACCAGAGGGTCCTCAAATATTACTTTCTATATTCTTTGCATTGTACCTGAAAAGAAAGAAGTTAGAACTGTGGAAATTTTAAGCGGGGAGGAACTTTTATAGATTATTTTGTTGTTTCCTTATTTTATAGATCAAGAGACTCAGTCTTTGAAAGGGAAAGTGTGACTTAGGTCTAAGGCCATAGAGCTCCAAATTTGAAAGAGCAGAATTAGAACCAAGATCTCCTGACTCCCAGTGCTTATTCCATATCACTATTTCATGCTGGTCCGCTGTATTAAAAAATAGTCCTTTATCAGGTGCTTATTGTGGGCAGACCACTATGGTAGAGTAAACTGTATGGAACTCCATGGATTTAGTGGCTTGTACTTTGACATGGTTTTTTTGTAGTTTGATCTTTATCTTTGTATAGTACACAGTATACAGTATTGCTTCAGTTTTGCTTCGTTTTTTCTTCCTTTATCACTAACAATGGTTTTAATTCAGTGTTTTTCTTAATGATTATTACTATTTTGGTGTATTGGGGATAGCTATAGAAGATCAAAAAATGGAATTCTTTTCACTATCTTAAATTAGAATATATTTCCTGACAACCCCATTTGGTAATGACCTTTCTCCCCAGATATTATGTAGCATTCAGTACATTATAGAATAGTGAGAGAAAAAAATCATTAGTCTGAACTATCGTCTTTTGCATTTGTGTCCTATTCCTACTGTACTATAAACTGCATAGAGAAGTAAGCTTATCTTGCTTTTCCCCTGGTGCCTAACAGTGTCTTCTACAGAGTTGCTTGGGTTTTTTTTTGTTTGTTTTTTAATGAATATAGATAGTATAGATCATATCCAACTAGGTCAGACTCCTGGTGATAATTCCACTTTTATAGTATTCTATAATTATTTCTGACTACCATTCTGACACGACTTTAGAAGTTTTTGTTATGCGTTGATCTTTTTGTTTTTTGTTTTTGTATTTTTAATGTGATATAATATTTTTTGTGTATCTAACTTCAAGCTTTTCTGTTCATGGTCTTTATCACTACTTTGACCTACCGGTGAGCCTTTATTTTCCTATTGATGAGTTGATATGGTTGGAAAATAATCGCTTGGCAATCTGAACTTCAAATCTGCATTAAAAATACAGTTATGTTTAGATGTTGCGGAATGCCCTGCCATACTTTTTTCTTAAAGTTTTCTAAAACCTACAAGTATGATCTGTACTCCTAAAAATCAGGAAAGTCCAACAGGGTATATTATAGATTATGACAATTGGTAATAGTTTTCCTGCTCATAGGTATTTAATTCCCCCTCCCCCTTCCCCCAAAGTGATACATAGACTTATAATAAAGAAAATTCCATGTGAAAGAAAGCATTTTGGACTCTGGCACTGTTTTATTACTACTCATTTTAACATTTGCATCGTGGTAGTCCTACCTATTGATCTAAAACAGGGATTCTTGACCTTTTTTGTATCATGGACCCCTTTAGCAGTCTGGTAAAACCTAGAGACTTCTCAGAATTATGTTTTTTAAATGAATAGAAAATACATAGGACCTCAAACGATACCAATTAATATTAAAATTAATTTACCAGTATTTTTTTTTAAAAGAAGTTTGTGGATTTCAGAAAGAACCCTTGGTCTAAGAAATTTGTAAAAGCTGCAAAACCACAGATGATTCAAAAATGATAGAGATGATGCTGGTAAGTATAGGATTAAAGATTCAGAGCTAAACCCCATGTCATATACTCATGTTAATACCAGGAAAATTAAATTAAGGACAATACATTGGCTGAATATTGATGTTTATATTGGAGAAAAAAAAGTATAGTTAATGAAAAATTTCATTTTTACCTGATATTGAAATGATTACTTTCCCTCATCTTTGTAATTCTCTATATGCTTGTGTTGTCATTATACCTTTCAAAAACTAGAGAATCCTCACTGTAACTTGAGAGACTTAAATGCCTAGATGAAAGCAAATGCCAGAAATGAAAATGAGTCTATACATACATAGAACTAAGGGAAAATAATATGACAAAAAGATCACAAAATCAATTCTAGCTATCCATTTAATTTTTAGCTGTTAAAAATAATTGTTATAAATGAATCAATACCTGTTAACAGTGGTCTAATATAGTATTTACCAACTTATAAATGGTTAATAGTGGTAAGATCTTAGAGAAAATAGTTGAACCTTACTAGTAAATAACCTTAGTTTTAAAGGTGACAAGTCTTCAGGTGTTTTTGAGAAGTGAGCTCTCAAGTATTCAAACATAGGACTATTGTCAGGGAGATGATTATTGTAGATGGGAAGGTGAGCTAAATTAAAACCCCTTCCATAATAGCAAGTAATATGAGTAAGATTTCCTAGAAATGCTTGAAATTAATAAAGAACTAGATTGCCAACAGAATTATGTACTGAAATTCTCTTGATTAAAGGTATAGTTTAAAACATATGCACACCTATATGTACTGAGGATTAACTGAAGTTGCTGGAACTCTAATGAAGCCATGCCATCATTAATTGCTTCTGAGTCTATGTCTTCTTCCAGATTCTTTGGCAGTATTTATTGCTAGCAGTACTTAGTATTTTTAATTCTGGATTATTAAACATTTTTATGTAATGACCTTGGTCTGCCTTTCTTTTCTTGCACAATCAGGTATCCTGGCCACCTGTTTAGATTTGATAAAGTCAAAACTTGGCATAGAGAGATGCCGTTACTGAATTTTATAAGAAAAAAAAACTTTCTTGCATCTTCATTTTTTTTGAAATTCTCTTATTTGTCCTTTAAGTTGCTTATAATTTAGTTGCTTTAATTTAGCTGCTTATAATAAGAAAATTTTTTGTCTGGCAGATAGTAAGTACTTAATGAATGTATGTTGACTTTTCCCCCCTTCTCTTTTTCCTGCCGTTAGGCTTCCAGATTAAGTCCTTGAATTATATCACTAATCATATAGAATGACTGAAAAATTGCATTTGGTGCTGCAGATAGGACAAACTGCCTACTTATAGGTGTTAATAATGTAAAAATTCATTATATCTCTTCGCCCAATCTGCCACAGAGACAGTTTTATTTCTTAATATAATTCAAAGTTTTGCCTTAATCTTTCACTGTAAGGGCATCAACCGTAGATTTTGTCTATCTTTATGATGATCTCTCTTAACAGGTAGAGAAGTGTTTCTTTTATGAGTCCCACCGTACTTTGAATATAAGAGAAAAAGGAACAGCCACTCCTACGAAAAATCTCCATAGCATATCCCTATGTAAACTTCTAAGGAACTGTTATGTTCTAACTTGTGATTCTTAAAAACAATCCGAGATATACATATGAGATAGGATTTCTTTGAATAAGATTTTGTGATTCTGCTGCTGACTTTATCATTATTTTATGTGCATGTGCAGAACACTTGAGATATTTATACCTTGCATCAAATTTTTTCATGAAAATAAAATAGTGTAAAACCAAGATATTCTAATGTCCTAGTTATTGGTACTGCTGCTGTTGTTTTATCATGGAATATGTTGTATCATGATCACACAAAGTTTCCTTCTGTCTCTATTCTGAAATATAAGATCACCTGAGGTTTAAATAAAGTTTCTGTGGTTGTAGTACGGTAATAGAGTGATGAAGTTCTAATAAGAAACAATGAGAATCGTTCACATTTCATTAAAAAACATAGACTAGAGGAGAAAAGAGGCCTTAAGATAGAGGAGTAATGTGGGAAAATGGAATAATGTACAAAGCACTGTGTTTGGAAAGGAGATGGGGGGTGGGTGGGTGTGTGTGTGTGTGTGTGTGTGTGTGTGTGTGTGTGTGTGTTTAAAATGCAGGTAAGAGGGAGAGGGGCTAGAGAGTGTCTTGAATGATGAATGTGAAGAGATCCATGAAATTCTTCCTTTGAAAAGAAACAGTGTGCTGATATTAAAGATAAATGTGGTATTCTGGTGGTTCTGAGCATAAGCAAAATTGAGGGTATTTTAGACAAACAGAACTTGAAGAGTTGAGCATCAGATAAGTTAAGAGTTAAAGGCCTAAGTTAAAAGATAAGTCACAAATAGATTCTGACATTGACATAGCGAAACAGTGTCTGATCTCTTTGTTTTAGTGGTTGTATAGAGTTTTCTGGGACTGGTATTTTGGCAAGGCCGAAAAGGGAAATTTGGTGTAATTATCTTATAGCAGTAAATATAGCAAAATCTTACTTAATCTGCATATTCCTCTTAGAAGGTAAGCATAGTGTGGATGTTTATGATTAATATAAATTCCTTCTTACTGTGAAGTAGCCAGAAATCCCTCTTTTGTTCAAATTCTTTTGTAATAGATAGACCAAGATTTAGAAGATGACCTATTGTTTTCATTACAGCCAGTAAAAATTCTGTCAATCAGACTCGTTTTTATGATGGCCCTTAAATGTTCAACTAGAACCTATTTAACTTGGGGTAGAGATGTCTCTCTTCGCTAGATAAACATAAATGAAATTTATTTTAGCTCTAATGGATTGAGGATGTCTCAGCAGCCATGTTTATTAGCAATAATGTTTGTAATGTACCAAGAACATAATAAAATTTTCTATTAAAACAAAAGAACCAGGTGAGCTTACTTTGTTGCCTCTCCAGTCTAATAAATACAACTCAGTCTTTAATGATTCTGAACCTTATATTATTCCATGGTTGTCATTCTAAACATGGAGACCCCTGTACCTTAAGAGGCCATGGTTCTAGTTTTCCAGCTTGGCTACAAGCTTTTTGCTAAACATTTCTGAGCCTGTTACCTGTTTTGCTTGTTTCAGATGTGATCTCTTCAAGGAGGCTTTCATGTAACTCCCACACAAGCCAGAAGTTATTTTTTCTGCCTCTAACTTTGTATAAC